ACTCATCCCAGGGTACTCCGCAGGCTATGGCCGCACGCCTGATGACTGACCTAACACCTTAGGAGTTGTTGCATGAAGTAAAAAAGGACCTTTCTCTTCATTGCACGTTCGTGATCGACGACCCCATTGTCCATTCTCTTTGACCCGACCTGGCGCACGGAGCACCAAGTCTTTACGCCTTACATAAAGAAACGCTTGTAAGAATCGAAGGATCACAGTTGCGCCAACTGGTCTACTTCGACGTACTCAACCGATCCCAGATACAATCCCAAGTATGCCTGTCTCGACGTGGATACCGCCGCCGCCTCCAGACCCCGACACACTGGTCAACCCAGCGCCTTTCGAGCCCTTCCCGCTCATCCAACTACGCGCCGGCAAGATCAAGAAGTCGCTTGGAAACGGAAAGATCGAGTCTGCCATCTACAAAGGACCGCTGACGGGTCCAGTCGAGATCACCGAGCTTGGTATTCCGACAGATGAACATGCATTTCATCTGCACGGCGGCCCAGACAAAGCGCTCCTCCACTATTGCACATCGCATTACGATGAGTGGAAGAAGGAGCTACCAACTTCGGAACACCATTTCAAACCCGGTGCGTTTGGCGAGAACCTGTTCAACACTGAAGTCAGCGAGATGAACTTGTGTATCGGAGATCGACTGGCCATTGGTGACATTGTCGTCGAGGTTAGTGAGCCACGTGGACCTTGCTACAAGCTCAACCACCGCTTCGAGGTCAAGGATATGGCGAAGCGCACACAGACGCTACTGCGGACAGGCTGGATGTACCGTATCATCAAGACCGGCACCATCACTGCAGGCGACATGATCTCCCTACTCGAGCGACCGCATCCAGAGTGGACGATAGCCAGAGTCATGTACTACCTTTTTATCGAAACAAACAACGTGGAGATGATGAAGCAGATTGTGCAGCTGCCGCAGCTTGGATGGGACATCAAAGGGAAATTCCAAAAACGTCTAGACAGAGGTGTTGTTGAAGACCACAATAGCAGACTGTTTGGTGGCGAGGACGAGAAGATGGATACCTGGAATGAGTACCGTCTTGTTGAGAAGCGAAGGGAGACGAGTACTGTCACAGCCTTCATCTTCGAATCTATTGAAGACATCCCGGAGCCGCCGCCCGTCGAGCCAGGTAGCCACGTACGGCTAAAGCTAGGAGGAAAGTTAGTACGCGCCTACTCCGTCGTAAGCGGGAACTCAAAGCGTTTCGAGCTCGGTGTCGCCCTAGACCCAAGCAGTCGCGGCGGCTCCAAATACCTCCACTCGCAGACCAAAGTCGGCGACATCCTCACCGTCGGTCGCATCACAGCCAGCTTCCCCCTCGCCAAAACCGCAGACCGACACATCATCATCGCAGGCGGCATCGGCATAACAGCCTTCCTGACAGCTTTTACCTACCTCCAAGAAACGAACCAAGACTTCCACCTCCACTACGCCGTCGCAGAAGAAATACCTTTCGCCTCTCAAATCACCGCTCTGGGATCCAAAGCAACAATCTACAACAAATCACTCGGCCAACGCCTAAACCTCCCCGCCATCCTCTCAAAAGCCGATCACCAAACCCACATCTACACCTGCGGCCCACCTCGCCTCATGGACGCCGTTGTCGCGACCGCAAAAACCTACGGTATACCCGAGTTCTCTGTCCACATCGAAGCGTTTACGATAGCTACATCCGGAGATCCGTTTACCGCGGAGCTTAAACAAAGCGGCAAGACGGTGGAGGTGCGTGCTACGGAGTCGCTGCTTGATGCGCTGAGGGCTGTGGGTATGGAGATTGATAGTTCGTGCGAGGTGGGTAATTGCGGGACGTGTAGGGTGGATGTTTGTGGGGGGAGGGTGGAACATCGGGGGACGGGGTTGCTGGAGGAGGAGATGGAGGGTGGGGCTATGTTGAGTTGTGTTAGTAGGGGGGTGGGGAGGATTGTGCTGGATTTGTAGGGTGGTGGGTGGTGTAAGGATTCGATGGTGGGATTGCCGTGTTGCGGTAAGGTGATTGGTGATGAGTTATGAGGTTTAGGGAAAGTGTGTTTGGACAATGTAGTATTGGTTTTTCTCAAGTATCTTCCCAGAGACGTAAATGCGATGTATCCAGGACCCAGACTCCATTCCAATGCAAACTCTAATTAATCATCCCACCGCATATTCAAAATCAAATATTCAACTTCCTTACTACTCAACCCCTTCTTCTTTCCTACACCATTCGCCTTCTCACTCCTCTCTCCCTCCCCCTCTCTTTCCGCAATTTCGAGTCACATATTCCCGTTAAACCACCACGACGCAGCGACTGGCCAGCCAAATATAACCGCGTAGAACGGGAAGTAACTAAATGACTATCAGCCACAAGTTCCAAACGAGAAGCATAGTCGTAGAAGAAACGTAGGGACTTACACAGCACTCGTTTTTACCAGTTTTCTTGAGAGATCACCCGCTCGCCATGAGTGAGGCGTCATAGTTATAGGGTTGCGGGCGAAGGGGTGGGGTTCAACCATGCTGCGGGAGAGAGTGCGCCAGAGGAGGCGGGCTTGGGTTGGTGATGGCATGGTTGTGTGTTGGGGTATGTTTGGTCGGATGTCGATTTGAAGCTATCGGTTCGGTTGGAAAAGAGCCGGTGTTGAGGTGTTCTTGATGGATTGTTGGTTTAAAAGGTTTGGCGTTGATGTCTTATGCTGAGTGGAAAGATGTATGAGGTGTATGAAGTGGACTGTTGATCGCAGTAGTACTTGTAGTGTAGTACTAGTTGTTATTTGTGAATAGCCACCATACCTCGCAGCCACCATCCTATTTATCCAACCTACCCCCCAAACCTACACCCTCATCACCCTCACCAACCCGCGATCGTACCACCAAACCATGGCGTGAGCCCCCCATCCTCCTCAGCCCTACGCCGCAACCCGAACGGCTGGCCTGACATGTCGGACAAGCCAGGCACACCAAAACCAACAGCCAGCAGCAAACCACGACCCGTATCGGGCAACAGAATTGAGCACCGTGGAAAGCAGTCGCTTGTTCCCGGACACTGTCATTGGTCTGGGCTCGTGCGAAACTTTGGATGCAATGACGGTGGTGAGAGGGTGGTGTGAGTTCGGTTGGGGCAGGGTCGGCGGGTGCCGATGGCTTGAGTCAGGTGATACGATTGTGGTGTGACACGAAAAAGCAATGTGTATGCATGATGCTGCCCTCACAGGAAGTAGACGAGGGTTTTGTCATGGTTGTTCGTCTTCGTCTTGCTATGCGATTACCGGATTCCACATGTGAGTTGCGGTTTCCAGGATGGAGCTGCGAGAGACAGCTTTCGGGATGACGCACCTCGGTCGGCCTGGCTTATCAGGGTCGCGGACGAATTTCCGCACCTACAGACGCGGCGAAACTTTTGACTGACAACACCACGCGCACACATTCCATGCTGAGAAGCTCGTCCTATACTAAATAGACCACGACTGAAGTAGTAAAATGGCAGCAGCAGTACTCGCAGGCAGCACCGGCCTCGTCGTACGTCCCCCACAACCCCCAGATAACCCCATCACGCACTCCTAACACAACACGCAGGGCTCCAACATCCTCACCACGCTCCTCGCCCACCCCTCCTTCTCCGCCATCCACGCCTACACGCGCCGCGACCTCCCCAACCCAGCAGGCTCCACAAAACTGCAACCCATCACCTCTCCCGACTCGTCCACCTGGCCCGCCGCATTCCCCTCGTCCACACCCCCCCGCGTCTTCTTCAGCGCCCTAGGCACAACCCGCGCCCAAGTCGGCGGCTTCGACGCGCAACGAAAAATCGACTATGACCTAAACCTGGATCTCGCCAAGCGCGCCAAAGAAGCCGGCGTAGACACATACGTCCTCATCTCGTCCAACGGCGCGAATCCCAATGGCTACTTTGCGTATCCGAAGATGAAGGGCGAGTTGGAAGAAGCGGTTAAAGGGCTGGGGTTCAAACACACGGTTATTGTACGCCCCGGTCTGATTGTGGGGGAGAGGAGTGAGTCGAGGCCTGCGGAGGCGGCGTTGAGGAGTCTGGCGAAGGGACTGAGGGGGCTGACGCCCAAGATGACGGATTGGTGGGCGCAGGATGCGGGGGTGATTGCGAGGGCGGCGGTGGAGGCGGGGGTGAGGTGTGTGGAGGGGAAGAGGGAGGAGGGGGTTTGGATGCTGGAGATGAGGGATATTGTTGAGTTGGGGAGGGAGTAGGTGGTGCATGGGATGGGATGGGATGGGGATGGTAGTGTATGATACCCTTTGTGCAGATGTTTACTAAATGAAGTTATAACGCGTCTTCAATGTAAGGTCTCAATTTCTTAACACTAATACTATGCCTATGATTGCAAACTACGACGATAAGCGACCCTATACCACGAGATGCTTATAATCAGTCTTTAGTGTGTAGAGGCCATGTCAACAGATAGCATAGACTACGACGTCCCCTTTCCATACACACATTCTACCACAATCTTCACAACGAAGTAAATACAACACCCGCAACATTCGATGCTGATAACCACAGTCGGCATCTTTACCCGCTCCAATGCACGCTGGACCCTTACAGCACATGCTAGACTCGCTGCGGAAATTCACGCGGTACCTCGCGCTTTCCCCACCATGCTAGAGGTATCTTCCGAAACCTTATACTTCCACCCAATCAGCATGAACGAATGAGACTGCGCCGCATGAAGTTCCCAGACTATCGTTACCCCTGTATCCCTCCCTCGTCTACCTCGCGCGAATTCCCTCTTTCACTTCCCGTGCAGAAACAGCCCGGCCTATATAGACGGAACGGAATGCCTCCCAAATCGCAGCGCAGTAGAGCTTGTGCTCAGTGTCGGTCTAGACGTGTTAAGGTATTTTATTCGGTATCTGCAATTGAAGGGTTGAAGACTGATCTGTGGTGTAGTGCGACGAACGACCCGAGATATGTCATCAATGCGAGCGTCTCGGACTGGCTTGCTCTGGAGCACTTCAGGGCTCCATCGTCATCGACATGACAGAGCGAGTGGCCAAGCCCAGAGGGAGGAAAAAGAAAGAGACAACAAGAGCTGCACTAGCAGTCCGCGGAAAGGATCCAACAGACGATAGCCAGCCATCAGCGATTCCTCGTACAATTCTTGCCCAAGAAGAAACCGCAAGCACATCAACACCAATTGACCAGCCTTCTTCATCGTCATACCCATCGTTACCATCCGAAAGCAGAGACAACGAAAAGATAGAGCAAGCCATCGTAGCAATCCGCTACCAGTACAGACCCCCCATGCTAAACCAGCCCTCACGAATCCTGCCAGAAGCTCTAGATACCGCTTTCCTCTCCCACTACATTGAGCTCAACAAAGGCGGAAGTCAGTACGCACCGGAAATCCAATGGCTGGGGCATATAAACCAGATTCACAGCAACGCACGGAAGCCAGCGGTTCGGCTGTCTCTCCGCGCAGTTTCCATGGCGTTTTTTGGGAAGCACCATCATGATCCGAGTATTTTGATTGATTCCTGGAGATGGTATACCGTGGCGTTGAGTGCGCAAAGGACGTCAATAGCGAGACTGAAGAATGATGCTATTCCTGATGAGGAAGAGGTTCTGGTGCCGCTTATCATGTCGTTGTACGAGCTATATGTAGGGGCGACTGCGACGGGCGCAATGTCTCACATCGCGGCCGCAGCTGAGATTATGAATATGCGCGGTCCGAGTAACTGCGGGTCAGGCGCCATTTGGCCGCTCTTCAAGGGTATCCGCAGCTCTGATGTAAGACCAAGGACACCACTATCGATACCTAGCCACTCCACTAACATCCCCAGGCCCATAAATCCGTAGTCTTCAACCGCAAATCCGTCTACGCCTCCCCAGACTGGATGACCCTCCCCTTCATCGGCAAACCGCGCGACGCACACCAAACTCTCGCAGACATCGAACTCATCGTCCCTCACTGTTTCGCCATGCTCGAGATACCCGGTTCTATGCGCGTCCTCTTCTCCACGCCAATACCCTCGCACGTCGACGTGAGACCTTGCAAAGAACTCGCGTGCAAATTGATTCGGCAACTCGATGACTGGGCTGCAGTGTATCCACACCTGACGAACTTATCCAGGAGTCCACGCGGAACACCTGTCGAGAGGGGTACGTCGACCCTACCCAAACCCAATACCAGGCCAGGATCTCCCAAATCAACCACAAGTTCGCCTAATACCTTCATAGCCCTAATCGCCTCAAACTACATGGCCGACCGCCTAGTCCTAAGCATGCTCATGTACAAAACACACACAGAATCCACAGCCCCCATAGCCCCCTACGAGATGCCCACCCCCTATTACTTCGACGTAGCCACGAAAGCCACGACGGATATCATTGACGCCGCAGCGGAGATCGAACAGGCCCAAACACCGGGGTTTGACCTACTGCGCAGTATTGCCCCCGTTATGGCTGTGGCTTTTGCGGCGCCGACGATGGAGCTGAGGAAGGATGCGGTGGATACGATGACGAGGTGGGCGAGGAGGATAGGGGGGCTGGGGAGTATTATTGGGGCGATTTGAGGGGGGGTGGGTGGGAGGCGTGTGTGTACGACTGCGAAGGCGAGATTGATGCGACGCGTATTTGAAGTGCGAGAGTGATGCGCGAGTGGTGGGGAGCTCTGATGCGGTTTTCTTACGCCCGCCGTTTGTGGTCGTTCTCAAGGGCCAGCGGTCGATGTATGTCCGCCTCCAGCTGTTTCTTCCGCAGCAACGCAAGACTGGCTCGCTCTTCCTGTACTATGGGTGGGGTCGATTTCGTGGTCTCGCCGGTCGCGCGAAACGGAGTGATTGTTGGCTGAGCGCCCAGTAGCATTCTGGTCGTTACCGACTTTTGGCGACCGCTCACATTGAAGCTCTTTCAACTTGGGCAACATCCAACCCTTTGGCGTTGGCACATCCGCAGTCGTCACAGCGGCCTCTCCTGTACCCCTGGACCATTCGCATCGCTCCCTTACTGCGTCGCGGAGCAATGTCTTTACCCACTCGACTCGACCTCTTGAGATGATTGACAAATCAGAAGCGGTGTTGCGCGACGAAAGGGAAACCTCGTTATTGGGTGGAGGATGCGTAAGGTAATTGGAATGGCGCTACTTGCTATAGGCGCAAAATGTCTGCACCATTCACTATCGGTGCAGAACCATAGTATAGACGATCTTGATCCAAGGGTTCTGGAGATGCGATACTTCTCTCTTTTTAAGAGTATCTCCTCGCGTATGAGTCGTACGAAATACGGATGGTGTGGTTGGCTCGTCATCTCTGGGTCGCCTCTGGCTCATCCCAGATTTTGATACAAAGCATCTCATGTTTGCCAACCTTCACATGTACGCGTACGATTCTATAAAGGTGTCTACACCATGTCAGCGCGGTCCGTTGGCCATACAATCCTGGAAATCAACTCGTCGCTACAACTCTCCACTACCTATCTCAACTCACAATGGCACGTCCTCTTACCTCACGCCTGACACTCCCAGGCGCAGGCACCGCCATTTTGCGAAACATCAATAGCATCTGGAAACTCTACGACGCAAGTTACGCCATCCCATATGACCTGCATCCCCACGGCGAGCACCGTGCGAACAATTGGTCTCGGCTTTTCCAGATTCGACTGGAGCGTCTTGTACTGCTCACGAATGCACGAATGAAGGATTACATCCTAGAGCAGATGCGCGACGTTGTAAACTTCAGACACCAAGGAAGACAAAATCGGTTGTTGTGTGTGACTGTCTGCGATCTCGATAGGCTGTACAGGAGGATTAGACGCGAGCAGATGAGGGAAGATAATGCGGCGGAGAGAGCAGAAAGATTGCTCTATCAGCAACATGTGGAACAGGTCAGGCGATTGGAGCTTGTGGTCCAAGATCTACGTCGAATGGACATGGCCCGGCAGCAACGATTTCAATTACCGGCTTTCGCATTCATCGACGACGCCCCTTAGGATTGAATTCGCATATCAAATGCAACATCAAGAACGACAGGACATCGACAACACCCTCCCCTACTAAGCGTAGGCATGACCTCGCCTCCAACCCCATCAACCTCCTTTGTCACCCCATTGTCGTCTTTGTCCAGCCCTCCACAACGCCATCTTCTTTCACCACCATCACACCCGCAAATATACCCATCAACACCGCAAACCGTCTCCATACTCACTGAACATCATCACTAGCCCATGACCCCACCCTCATCTACATGCTCCTCAAAACAACCAACTTCTACCCTCTGGCCAAGATCGAAGAAAGAACCGCTGGAGAAATCGCACGCGCAATGTCAGGCAATCCACCCTACCCTGCGGGTTACCCGTTTCTTCCTCCCTCGAAAACAGATCAAAGTGCGACGGAGCGTTTGGCAGAGGTTAGGAAACTGTTAGCGAAGCAGAAGGAAGGGGAGAGAAAGGGGAAAAGCTCGGAGAAGATGCAGTCGAGGGGTCTTCCTCCAACACCGCCAAAACACGCTCCAGGTGCTTGGGGTGGTCTGGAAGAAGCCAGGAAGCTCATAGCTTCACAGATGGAAGGCCAGAGGAGGATGAATGGTAGCGAGACGCGGCCGCGGAAAGTAAGATGTCCGTCCTCATCGATGTCGTCAGTTTCTAGCGACAGTCTGCTGGGGTCGTTGCCAGTGAGCTCACGACCGCAAGGCCCTTATCCTCCGAGCTTACCTTCGCCGCTACCGAGGAATCACCCGAGGAGTCATTACACGAGACAGCCTCCACTGGATGAATCATCACGCAGTCCATCACCAACACGCGCGTCACGACGACCTTTGCGACCAAATCTTGATAAAATCGATTATGAACGGAACGCACACCGACTATCTCAGCGACGAGACCGAAGCTGCACGCCCATGGGCAAGGTCTTCGTACAAGATATCACGTGGCCGCCATTTCCTGAATGGCCGAAGGATGTATCGAAGGATGAGGAGATGAAGTTTATCGAAGGTGAGATAGAACTTTATAGGATTAGAGAGGCGTATGAGAGATCTGTGGGACGGAAACTTGTGGCGAGTTATAGGAAGAGGGTGCTTATGTATGAGAGGGATGTTTTGAATTGTAAGCTTAGTGGTACAGGGAAGAAGAGGAGGATGGGGCGGTAGAGGGGCGGGAGTATGCAATGATAGTCTAATGTACACGCAAGCTCTATGAACGCCTAGTGATAGATTGCCACACGGGATTAGGCGCTTTCTCTCTTGCTGGCGAAGCATGGTTGTGTTGAACATGCCTTTGTTTGGGGAGCTCCATCAAATTGTGCTGTGTCTTTGTTCGAGCACAAAAGCACGACTTTCTTTCACATCGCACTATCTCGCAAAAGCTTTGGCAACGCTGATACCGTATCAATCACAAAAGAGCCGCCGCAGGATTACGTAGCGATCAATCCAATTCCTACGCACGACTTATCCGTCCCAGCGCCGCCAACATGTCTGAGCTTCAAAGTGAATACGCACCGAACAGTCTTTTCGCCCCAATGGACGATCTGGAGACATACATACGCAGTACCTGGGATCTGAGGCACCCACACGACTTCTTCACACCACCACTCCCTTCTCAGGAAGAGTACAGGTTCTCAGACCCGTGGCTCATATTCGCCTTATTCTCGCTTGCCAAAACAACATCACTCGATACGGCACGGAAGGCATTGCGTGAAGTACTTACACGCGATGAGCATGAAGGTGAAGTCACGGCTAGGGATGTCCAGGAGGCGCGAGATTATGTCATCAAAAACATGGAGCCGGATGAATTGCAAAGATACAACAATGTCACTGTACCGGGACTGAGAAGAGATGAAGTGAGGTGGAATAGATACAAACATATGTATGAGGTGGATTATCATGACTTATTGCGAAGGTATGGCAGGCGGGGGACTGAGTGGGGGACAAGGTCTATGTCACGACGTTGCAGTCGAGATGATAGGCGACGCAGTCATCTGAGAAGCCCTATGGGTAGATCACCAAGTCGTTACCGGCCGCGAAGTAGGAGTCCAACTCGACCACGCGACCGTGAGAGACGTGCACCAAGCGTCAATAGGCGATCCAGTCCACCACCGCATCCTTCGCTGCAGCGAAGTCGTCCGGTCGAGCAGCCAGCCTATCGCGGCGCTACCACTGATCACTTTAGTGGATACGCCCTTGAGATGCCCAATCTGGTTACCGACCCACCCGGTGCCACTTTCGATGAGCGGCTTGGATTACGGGACGAGGCAGTGCAACTGCTTGGTGCGCAAGAGGAATATTACGAAGCTGTGCGGCGGAAGATGCTATCTCGATACATGGCGAGAGTGCAGAAGTATGAAAGGGAAGTCATCCAAATCAGGAAGCGTGTTGCGGGCGGCGAAGGGATAAGGTACGAGAGAGACGACGCAACAAGGGGTAGGGGGGATAGGGGTTATGAGAGGGAGACAAGAGATAGCCGGCGAAGATAAGATGGTCGCTAAAGTCCATTTAACGTCTCGCTCCTCTCATATCCAAGTACGACCAGGCGATCTTTGTTCGTTGGCTGACAGATTGGATCAACTGGTAGCTTATGTTAGATCGTTAGTAATAAGCCACGCTATATAGCCTGGTATAATTTCACGCTAAGTATATTAACACTGTGCACCCTTAACAGTGTATTATACTTATAATTTCTCTTATTTATAAGAGTATTTTTTTATTAAAGTTATTAATATTATAAAAGTTATAAGTAGCTCTTCTTACTTTATATTACTATAGTACTATAAAATAAAGTAAATAGTAACTAAAAAATAAAAATACTATATATAAATATAAGTTAAAAAAAAGAAAATATAAAAAGTAACTACTATAAGTACTACTTTTTAAATATAATATATATACTATAGCTACTAATATAATTACTTTTTACTTAAATACTTAGCTTACTTTTAATAGTAAATTACTACTACTTAGTATTTTTTTATAACTTTTAGCTTTTTTAAAGTTTACTATTATAATTAAAAAAATAGTAAAATTATAAGCTACTTATTACTAACTTATTATTATTTTTAGAAGTAGTACTTTTTTTTAGAGCTTAGCTACACGCTAAGTAGTTATATAATACTTAAAAGTATAGTTTTATTTTTAATAAGTATTAAAGTATATAAATATATATACTAAGAATACTAATATAAATATAAATATAGCTAATATTTATAAGTATAAACTAAGTAGCTAAGAACTTCTTAATTACTAAAAGAGTAGTAGTATTAAATTTTATTTAATAACTTTAACTACTTAGCGTTTAGCTTACTTAAGTAAAGTAAAATATTTTAAATAATTAGTTTAAAAATATAAACTAAAAAATATAAATATTAGCTATTTTAGTAAGTTATAAAATTATTATATAAAAAATATAAAAGAGTATTATAATAGCTAAGTAGCTATTATAAGTAATAGGTTATTTAGTTAATTATTTAGTTTGTCTAGTTTATCTAGTGCTAGTACATTAAATGTAAAGTCCCGTGCACCCTTAACCGCACTAGCTCCGTACCTTTCGTGGAGGACTTGAGCAGAGCTACGCTTTCCACTCGCAGTCA